TTAGATACGACGCCCCATCCCCAAGACCCAAACCTAAACGGTGTGAATCTGGTCGGGTCTACGAATCGGGTCCACCATTCTCGGGTTCCCGCTCTTTTTTCAGGCTCTAAACTCTCTCTTTTCGGTCAAGTGGCCAGAGCCGGCGAGCCGTCGCTGCGAGTCTAAAATACACAGAGCTTCCAATGACGGAGACCGCCACGGTTATCACAATCACGGAGCTAATCCACGGAGGTCGAGCCATCACCGGTGCATCCTCGCTATTCTCCTCCACTGTTACGCCGCCTTCACATTCGTCTTCCGAATCAGGCACTAGGAACCCACAATCACGTTCCGGTGCCGTTGATTCAGACTATACCCGTAGTTTTCTCGAACCATTGAACTACCCAGCGGTTATCGTCGGCACTCTCGCTCTTCCTTCCGAAACCCTAAAATGTCCGAATCGCTATTGCTTTCGATTCACAGACGGTAACTTGACAATCTGCTGTGATATCCTTGGTCTCGAAATCCGTGCGATTGGGAGTAAGATATGTGTATTGTCTTGGAATTTCCTTCCTACGAGGCATTTTGGTGGCTTTTTGGAGATTATCAAGTGGAAACTCGTGGATACCGGTAAGTTGCTTTCCCGGTGTTCCAGTATTGATTCGTTTCCATTGATTCCTCCTCTGCGTTCACCACAAAACGGTGACCGTAAGTCACGGTATAGCGTCCATGGTGTGTTAGAGTCCATTAGCCCTGTGTCGGTTGTTCCTTGTATGGAAGGTGATTCCAGTGATTCTGTAAACCTTCCTGGTTTCTTAATAAGGGTCAAGGCCTGTGAGTGTAAAGTATATAGGCGGAACGATATGATGGATTCGAGTGATTGCAGTCAATCTTTTGAGAAGCCGGTCTTCATTTACTTCTGTGGTTTAATGGCTGCGAGCTGGCACCCTGCGATAACGAAGCTAGTTGGTGGAAATGTTGCTCTATCGGGATTGAAAAAGAAGTTGGTTTGTACCCGCAAATGTGATTCTCTGTTGGTGTTTGTGACGACTGAGAACTCTGTTCTTCATTCACCCTGGTTTTCTAAGAGACAGGTAGTTTCGAAAACTGTTGTTGATAGGAAAGGTAACTGCGGTTCCTACCTCGGATTTGTCAAAGGCTTGTACATGAAAGGGAAGCTTGTTGAGCTGGATGAAGATGTCTGGCTTTTATTGACAGATCAGATACACAACACACCACACAGTGTCCGAACTGGTTCACTTGTAAGAAGTATTCTCTATCTTCTGTTTGGTGTGTTATAATACGATGACTCTCTTTTTTTTTGGTGGCTCTAAGTGTCTGAGAAGTTAGTCTATCTGTTCTGGCTTGAGATCTTTGATTGTTTTGACTTATTTTTAGTGCAGATCTTTGTCAGAAATGTACATTTTGTGAATACCAAATTTTCTTGGGGAGAAGTGCTTATACTTGGGGCATGCTTCAAGACCAGCATCACAGTTGAGTTTTTTTCACCTTTTGAAACGAGGTAAGGTTTTACTATAAAGCAGTTCATCCTGGATGCTTTATCTTATTTCCGGAGATTCATCCAGTTGCTGCTTCAGTTGTTTTGTAGATTCATGCCGGCAGACTTCTCTGAGTCGATTCATCGAGTCTCTGTCATTTCCTGCAAGATTTTGGTA